GGGATTTGGGGATTTAGGGGTTTGGAAATTTGTGGAATTGGTTATCAAGGGATTCGGGAATTTAGGGATTTGGAAATTTGTGGAATTGGAGATGTAGGGATTTGGGAATTTAGGAGTTTGGAAATTTGTGGAATTGGTTATTATGGGATTTGGGGATTTAGGGATTTGGAAATTTGTGGAATTGGTTATCATGGGATTCGGGGAGTTAGGGATTTGGAAATTTGTGGAATTGGAGATGTAGGGATTTGGGGATTTAGGAGTTTGGAAATTTGTGGAATTGGATATCATGGAATTTGGGAAATTAGGGGGTTGGAAATTTGTGAAATTGGATATGTAGGAATTTGGAGATCTATGAATTTTGGGATGTAATTTGGGTGCATAGGTATTTGGGAGTGTAGATATTTGGGGGTGTAGGTATTTAGGGGTGTAGGTACTTGAGAATCCCGAAATTTGAGATTTTTAAGATTTGGAAATCCACCCATATGAAAACCTACACTCCCTAAATTTGGAAATAGATCTATCAATTTATGAATGCTAAAATTTGAGAAACCCAGAAATTCCAATCCTCAAGAACTAAAAAACTTAAAAATACAAAAGTATCAGTCCAACATATATAAACTAATCCAAACCATCGACTAATCCAAAGTACCTGAAGTATTATTAATTCATTCCGTTGCTCGTCGATAACCGATACGTGACAGCAATCCCACATCCTGTGTTTCTTCATCTTGAACGTCAGAAAGCCGTATATACTCCCGTTTTATTGTTCGCCGGTTTACAACGCGGATTACAGAAAATAAAGAACAAGAAACGCCTCTCTCTTTCGTTGGTCTATCTCATCACGTTTCATGTGCTATTTATCGCATTGCGCAGAGGTCGCAGGAGGTTTCGCGTGTCCGGCCGCTGGCGAAGTGAGCGGAGCATCCGGCAGCTTCAGCAGACACGCCCATCCTGAAGACTGCAGAAAATATTACATATGCCTGGAAGGTATCGCCAGGGAATATGGTTGCCCCATCGGCACCGTCTTCAAGATTGGAGACGCTGACGGAAGCGGAGCTTGCGAGGATCCTGAGGATGTTCCTGGATGGTGAGTTTATTTTGTTGATTTGTTATATGGTTATTGATATAAGGATATAAATAATGAATAGGTAGAAACAATTTTATAATTCATTATAATATAAAGTATAAGAATAATGAATTTAATTACACATGACTTTAAGTCAAATTTAATAAGACGATTAACAACTGCAACAAAATAAAAACAATGATAGAAACAAACTTATGATTCATTACAATATAAAGTACAAGAATGAACATAAATTAAATTGCACATAACTTGAAGTTTTTAATAAAATGATTAGCAACTGCAATAAAATAAAAACAATGATAGAAACAAATTTATGATTCATTATAATATAAAGTACAAGAATGAACATAAATTAAATTACACATAACTTGAAGTTTTTAATAAAATGATTAGCAACTGCAATAAAATAAAGTGACAAATATAATACATGATAAAGTATAAAAAGAAATTCAAGTATAATTTCAATGACCTTAACATAAATAATAATTGAACGAGCATAATCTTGTATTAAATGCGTTTAAAGAATGTATTCTTTATGAAGATTGGGAACCAATATGGCGTCGAAAGAAGAGGCATACGTAGTACATTTTAGAAACCATAATTAAATACACTTATTAAGTGCAATATTTACTTTTAATACATTGTTCGAATCTGTTGGAATGTTTTCTATAAAAAATTATTAAGCTATTTATACCAGAAAACAATTATTATATGCATCGTGATTGACGATGAAGAATACGCGCAGTGCGCATGCGCCAACCCCTGACGCCATATTGGTTTTTCAATCGGATAACGTTTTCAGAGAATCTGTATTTAATTACATGACTAAAATGAACTAAAATGATAATCATGAAGAACTTGAAATATCTAAACATTGCTATAAATAAAAATTTCTTAAAACAATCAATAGAGTCAGTAAAGAAATAAATTTTACTCATACAATTTTTGTTTTAAATGATCATATTAGTCACAGTGATGTAGCAATAAATGTATGAATTATTGTATTAATTACTGTATTAGTTAGTGTATTAACTACCATACTAGTGTACTAATTAGTGCATTAATTAGTGTGTTAAATTTTCTACGATATTGAAGTCTTCTGCCATATCTCCACATCTTATATAAAGAATTCATAAAAAACCAATACCGGATAATTAATATCTCTTACTTATACCATTTTCAAGAAACATCTAAGACCCATCGTGTACACGTTCTCTATGTTCTCTGTAATTAACACTCTAGATATATCACTCCAATTAAATCGCCATTTAATTCGCTCTACATGTTCTCACGAATTAAAAATCCGTATAACCGCAAGTGAATCCGAGTCACTGAAAGAAAGTAATTACATTACGAAACCGGACAAAATAAGCCTCGTTTCGTTCTTCGAAAGTAATCGGAACGCGAAAGTGTAGCGGTAAAGTTGCTCCAGGAAACTTCACGGTTTGAACTGTAAAGAAATGCTTTCGTTTTTTTTTTTTTTCGAAAGGGATTTTTAAACTTCCTAGTATGCTTTCTCCCGAGCTTCGAGTAGCGATAAAGACAGCGAATTTCAACGGATCGGGAAGGTTTCAGACCGGCTGTTATGTAAAGACGAATTCTGGATAAACCAGATAGTCCGTGGGTGATTACGGGTCTTTAAAACTCGCGAATACGCTGTCTGGACGTTCGTAAGATATCTCAATTTTTTCTCGAGTGACGTAATTAAATTCGAGAGACATTCTGCTCTCATAACTGGTCGATAGGTTTTGCGTAACGGTATAATAAATGTTGGTAACATTATATTTACATAATATTCGTTGACAAGAGGAATAACGTGTACGAATGTTTTATAACTGCGACGTGTTATTAAAATTGATACTTGTAGACATGTGATGTATTTTAGTATGTTTGACTATTATATGTATAGATAGTATATTATAGGGTGAGATTCATATTTAGTTGCGAGTTGTGGTGGATGAAGGATGATGCGGGACGCTGAAACGTAGTAAACGGAATTGGAATTTGGGAGTTTGAGAATTTGGGGATTTAGGTATTCGAAATTTTTCATTTTGTGGATTTGATAATTTGATGATAGGGGGATTTGGGGATGTGGGATTTGGGAGTGTGGCAATTTAGGAGTGTAGAGATTTGGGGATGTGGGATTTGGGAATGTAGGGATTTGGGAATGTAGGGATTTGGGGATGTAGGGATTTGGGGATGTAGGGATTTGGGAGTGTAGAGATTTAGGGGTGTAGGGATTTGGGAATGTAGGGATTTAGGGATATAGGGATTTGGGAATGTAGGGATTTGGGAGTGTAGGGATTTGGGGATGTAGAGATTTGGGAATGTAGAGATTCGGGGATGTAGCGATTCGGGGATGTAGAGATTTGGGGGTGTAGGGATTTGGGGATGTAGCGATTCGGGGATGTAGAGATTTGGGAATGTAGGGATTTGGGAATGTAGAGATTTGGAAATGTAGAGATTTGGGGATGTGGGATTTCGGAATATAGGGATTTGGGAGTGTAGGAATTTGGGAGTGTAGAAATTCGAGATCATAGAAATTTGGAGATGTAAGAATTTGGGAACGCAGGAAATTAGAAATATTGAAATTTAGAAATGTAGGGATTAAGGAACATACTAATATAAAAACATAAAAATTTGAGAATTGATAGATTTCAAAATCCAGAAGTCTAAGAACTGAGCATTATTCAATGTCCACAAAAGCATTCTACCTACTCACTCATCATATATCACTTGTCAATCAATACTATAATGGACATACATGTACATACAGTATTAATACGAATACCATATTGATATATAATAAACAGTCGTATCCTACTGAATCATAAATCATAAATTTCCACATCAACTCAAATTTACATAAAACATAATGAGTCACTTCAATCTAAATACGAGATAGACATCATCAAAGTTGAGGCTTAAATTAAAATTGATTAATGACAACGAATTTTCTAAAAACAATATTGTATTTAATAAGGTGTAATTGTAAGGCTGAGGTATGTACACATGGTTCTTTCCAATGGTTGGAATATTCCAATAATCAATTGTGTTAATTAACAACAAAATCGTCTAACAAATGGAAGTAATTAATTTATGACAATACTCTGGATATTTTCTCGACAGACTATACTTCTCGATTACACATGCACAAGTGTACTAAACTGATATATGTGCGATTCTTCTTCACGAATGTAATTAACTGAACACGAGGCTGCACATGAGGCAGGTAGTGATGGGCTAATCATTTCAAATCTTTATTTCTCTCAATTTTCTGTTTTCTCAAATTGTACTCTCTTGAAATCGTAATTTTTCCAAGTTCTAATTTTTCCAAATTCCAGTCTCTTCACATTCCATTCTTTCCAAATTTCAATTTTTCCAAATTCCACTTTCTCAAAATTCCACTCTCCCCAAATCCTAATTTCCCCAAATTCCACCCTTTCCAAATCCTAATTTTCCCAAATTCCACCCTTTCCAAATCCTAATTTTCCCGAATTCCAATCTCTCCAAATACCACTCTCCCCAAATTCCACCCTTTCCAAATCCTAATTTCCCCAAATTCCAATCTCTCCAAATACCACTCTCCCTAAATTCCACCCTTTCCAAATCCTAATTTTCCCAAATTCCAATCTCTCCAAATTCCACTCTCCCCAAATCCCAATCTCCCAAATTCCCATCTTCCCAAGTCCCAATCTCCCAAAATCCCCATCTTCCCAAATTCCCATCTTCCCAAGTCCCAATCTTCCTAAATCCCAATCCCTCCAAATCCCAAATTCCCAATTCCCCAATTTCCCAAGTCCCAATCTCCCCAAATTCTAAACTCTCTAAATCCCAAATTGCCCAAATTCCAAACTCCCCAAACGTCATACTCCTCAAATCCTGCACTCCCCAAATTCCAAATTCTCCAAGTCTCAAATTCCTCAAATCCCAACCCATCAAATCCTCGACTCCTCACCTCCTCAACTCCTCAACTCCACAAATTCCAAATTTCCCAAACCCTCCAAATATATTTTCCCATCAATACCTCCACATCTCGTACAAATATTAAGCTCCCGAATATTCCTACAAACATGAACCCCTAAACATTAGCAACTCATCATAGTTCTCCACAAGAGAAATGATAAACGGCCCATCACTATAAAATCCGGTGGAAGGTCACGCATGTCCTAACCGCTTTTCCCGATTCTGCTTCACAGTGAGGATTACTACGGTGACTTGGACCTAAAGAGCATCAGGAAGAGCGAGCTGCTTACCGGAATTCAGCACAACGAGAACAGGAAGCCCCAGAGTAAACCAAGGCCCCCATCGGCACCTGCGAGGCCCAACGCACCCCTTCAAGAATAATTTCTAATCTCTTACACTCTTTACTCCACCCTTATCACACCTCTTCGCCCTATCCATCCATCCTCTCATTCCTTGTACCCCAAAACTTTTGTCTTCTACACAACACACACACACACACAACTCATACAATCTCGAGAGAACATGATGTTCGATACCTCGAAATATGTAACGCCGGGCGTCAAGAGCAATACTCGATCGCATTCGAGACAGGATTTGAATCGAATGATTTTGTAGTTTGAGAGAAATGGTAATCGAGGTCTGATTCGATGATGGCGACGATGGACGTTTTATTCGCGATTTTAATTCCACGCGTTTCGATTGGGGAATTATCCAGAGGACGTGGGGAATTACAGAGACTGATTGCACCTATGAAAGATGGATAAAATTGTCCCACATTTTCTTTTATTTTTTATTCGTTGCCATCGCGCTTGAAAGTTGAAAATCGAATTGAAGGTTGAATCGATGACTTTTTTATCGAGTCGAACTTTTATTTCATTCTTGTGAGTTCGATCGAGAATCTGGAAGGGTTTCGAGTATGTGAATATACTGTTTGTCGAATGTGATTTAAAGAATTCGATGAAGAATGAAAAATGATTGAATTCGAACTTGACACTCTTGGCCTCGGTCGAGCATGCTTGCGTAAACTAGACTCGTCCGTATATTTTTAAGTGATGTGAAAAATTCGTACAATAAATGAAAAATTCGTGAAAAATTTTTGTGTGCTTTTGATAACCTCGGTACCTGATCTCTGTGGTGTCATTTTTCTATGTATGGTGTCATTTCGTGTCGCTTTTTGTTGGAGACTTAATTACTGTCGATCTAACTGCATGCTTGTTAATTGAATAACTGTGAAGCGACTGTTTTCTTCTTTCGAATAACACACAGGTACTTGGCGCTATGGATTTATCGAGGTAAATAATCAGTGATGGAAATAGATGGAACTAGGGTGAGTTATGTATTCTCCCCTTGAGACTTTTATTGGTTTTTATTGTGTGAGATGAGGAATTTGATATAAGAGATATTTCAAACTTTTTATTGATACAAATATTTAAGTTGCAAGTATTGTAATTTACAAGTCTGTAATGTTTTATATTTGTAAGTCTGTTCATCGCAAGACCCAAATTGTACAAATCCCATAAATTCCGAGTTTCTACGAATCTTGCAAATCCTACAAATCCCACAAATCAAATGAATTCTAGAAATTGTAGAAATTCTTCGTGTCCCCCAAATCACAAATCCCACCAGTCCCATAAATTCCACAAATTTCACAAATCCCAGCAGTCCCACAAATCCCATAAATCCCAAATCTCATAAACCCCAAATTCCACAAGTCCCAAATTCCACAAACCCCAAATCTCACAAATCCCAAATTCCATAGGTCCCAAATCCCACAAATCCCAGATCCCACAAATCCCAAATCCCACAAATCCCAGATCCCACAAATCCCAAATTCCACAAGTCCCAAATTCCACAAATTCCAAATCCCACAAATCCCAAACCCCTAAACCCCAAATCTCACAAATTCCAAATTCCATAAGTCCCAAATCTCACAAATCCCAGAACCACAAATCCCAAATCCCACAAATCCCAAATCCCACAAATCCCAAATCCCACAAATCCCAAATCCCACAAATCCCAAATACCACAAATCCCAAATTCCACAAACCCCAAATCCCATAAATACCAAATCCCATAAACCCCAAATTCCTCAAGTCCCAAATCCCACAATTTCCAAATTCCATGATTCTCAAATCCCACAAACCCCAAATTCCACAAGTCCCAAATCCCACAAATCCCAAATCCCAAATCCCCCAAATCCCAAATCCCCCAAATCCCAAATCCCCCAAATCCCAAATCCCCCAAATCCCAAATCCCCCAAATCCCAAATCCCCCAAATCCCAAATCCCCCAAATCCCAAATCCCCCAAATCCCAAATCCCCCAAATCCCAAATCCCCCATATCCCAAGTCCCCCAAATCCCAAATACTCCAAAATGCTCACTTCTTATGTCAATAATATAAATGTTTCATCTACGTCACTAAAACTGAAACAACTTGCTCTTCATACCTAGCTCCACTTTCCCTCAACAAAATAAATAATGCATTTCGACTGAACGAATATTAAATTTTATAGCGAAGATTATTACGGCGACGTGGATCTGAAGGCGTTACGTAAACTGGGGTACAAGAAGTGACGAAAATGTCAGATAGAAGTTTAATGATTTTCATGACAGCACTAACGATAGATGAGAAGATTTCGACTCGTCGCAATCAACTATCTACCGAGGATAAAGAAGAGTCATCTGCTCACGATTGGTGTTCCAGTACCTTTTTAGTTCGAAATTTATTTTCATTATTTGGACTTTTTGGTTCTCACAGTTCACCGGATAATTCATTCATACACTGTCACGCTTATCAGTATTCCTGTTATGAAAGATTGTAATATAAGCTACTATGTAAATAAATTACTGTTATATATAATTTGTGTTACTTTGACATCATAGCCCTTAATAATAGATTACACTTAATAATTGCCCTATATAATCTCTGCGTTGTAATTTCTTTTGTCTTGAATATATATTTTATAAAATAAAAAATTTCATTTTTTAATTCTTGTTGTTAATTATTGAGTTAATTCTCATTCTCATCAAATTTTGCACGTACATGCGTATGTACATCCAGATGGACATAGAAAAAAAAATTTTAAATCGGACTTGCCACGGAGGAATAATCACCGAAAAAACTGATCCTCATAACTTCAGCATTGCGATACGTACAAGAGCCGCCTATGTCAATTCTACAGCGCATGCAGAGTGCAATATTTCGGCACTTTGACGACGTAGTATGGTTCCTGAGGCATTTAGAAACAAATTTCTATTAGGGTTTGACGCGTTTTGATGCCTAATAAAGCCAGAAAATCAATTTTTGTCGAATTCGGGCCAAAACGGTACAGGTGGCGCCATCTAGCGGTGAGCGGCGGATTACCCGAACATTATTTATGAACTTTTATGATCGAACTATGTAAATAATGCATTGCTGACCATTCTTTAATCATAAAACTTCATAGACTGTGCTCAGAAAGTGAGTTTTCAGGCCCTTGTCATAAAAATTAAAGTTGGGGTCCTTCTTTATCCGTACGACGGCCCTATTCTTTCGTGACTATATTCAGTAGGTATCTGTATATCTCGTAATTAGAAGTATATGTAGCGGCCGACTTCAAACCGGTGATGAGATATTGGACGGGTTTTTGCGCGCATGCGCGAGAAATGCAGGAACGTACGCAGCGTATGTATTTAGCGGCGCCACCAAATGGCTTTATTATATATTTTGGTTACAGTTATTTTAGTACCCTTCCTTTCCATCTGCTCCTCAAATATGAAAATATGTATATAATCTAATCTTATCCAACCTATACATTCATATTTCACAACGAAATTATAAAAATTTTTGAAAAATAATGAGGGGTGCCGCACATGCGCGAAAAAACCCGTCCAATATCTCATCATTGATCACATCATTGCTTCAAACAAAGAAGAGGGGATAGAAATTTGCTTGTTACAAATCACAAAACTGTTGCTTGTTAGGAATCGATACTGTATTACGTATTTACATTACAGTGTATAAATTTGTTTGTCTTATAATCGAATAACCTAATACAGACATTTACTGAATATTAAGTAAAATAAAGCTATTTCTATAGTACAAGGTGAGAAATAATTTTGACGTTTGAATACAAGAAGACAGCCGAGATGTTGCATGAAAAACAACCTAACAAAAATGTTTAAAATTATGTTTTTTTCGAAAAAAAGAACTTAATGTTTATTGTTCATTAATTGTATTTTTTTTTTATACGTTTTTCGTTTGTTTTGAACTACGAAGAAAAAGTTTAGTTTACTGAAAGTATAATTGTTTCATTTGTGCAGCTTAAGTTGTATGAATGATTTGAACAAAACAATGGAACTAGAGGAGCATATTTCGCAAACAATGCAAACACCGTTTGCAACAAAGAATCCATCACATCATAAGAAACAAACTGCAAATGAACATATAAATAATTTATTCAGGAAGCATTTTCCCATTGTAAATAATGGACATTATTCGTTGCCTGAACCAAAACTAATGTTTAAGGACTGTCTGTGGAAAGTGAAAGAATTACAAATTTTGAAGGATGAATTAAATAATGTAAAAAGCTATTTAGATAAGTATGATAGTCACGAATGGCAGTTGCATACAAGATTAAGAAACATTGCAAAAAATGTTATGACAAATCTAAGAATCAAAGTTGAGCCAGAACTTTTAACTCAAGCATGGTGTAAATTTTATGAGATAGTCTCAAGCTTTCCTTTAGTACCAGTAAATCATATTAATCGTAATAATAAAAGCTTTACATCTATTCATTTGTGTGAAGCACCTGGAGCTTTTATTACATCTTTAAACCATTGGTTAAAAACTAATGAACCTGACATACAGTGGAACTGGATTGCTATGACATTAAATCCGTATTATGAAGGTAACCCATCATCTGTGATGATCGATGATGATAGATTCATAAGACATACATTAGATCATTGGTGTTTTGGAGAAGACAATACTGGAAATATTATGAATTTAAGTAATTTAGATGAACTTATAAAAGTTTCAGAACTAGAAAATAATATATTTTTAATTACTGCTGATGGCAGTATAGACTGTACAGATGTTCCTGCAGAACAAGAAAGTGTTCTGACACATTTACATTTCTGCGAAACTGTTGCAGCTTTGCATCTACTAGCTACAGGAGGTAGCTTCTTATTAAAAATTTTTACCACATTTGAATGCAATACAATATGTTTGCTTTACTTATTATCTTGTTGTTTTGATAATGTCAATGTGATAAAACCAATAACAAGTAAAGAAGGAAATTCAGAGACATATGTAGTGTGCATAAACTTTAAAGGACCAACATTTATTTCCCCATATTTAGAAAAACTTAGAGAACACTATGACCATGGTCCTCAACAGGCAATATTTAGTGAATCTGATATTCCACCTGAATTTATAGAACAGATCATAGAATGCAGCAAATTCTTTAAAGCACATCAATGTCTAGTCATAGAGAATAATATTATTACATTTAAATCTACTAATCGTAAAATGTTACATGATCTGAAACAAATGCAATATATAGTTGCTGATAAATATATCAAAGATTATAACTTACAAAAACTGAAATCAGGAGAAATTGTAGGAAAAGCAGTTGCATTAGAAAAAAGTACTAATACTAATGAACATAGGAGGACATTACAAGGATCTTATCATGAACGTTGTGAACAACAACATTTATCACCTTCAGAACGATTAGAAAGTTTTTGTAATGATTTTAACAAACTGAAGCTACATGTAAAATCCAATACATGTATGAAAGTAAGCCACTTTATATCTTATATTATATTTGAACTTCTCTTTAAATTAATTAGAAAGTTTGTTACAACATATTTACAATTAAATTTTCTTTTTTTATAGTATGAGTCTACCAAATTACCAGAAAATTTACATATATGTTCTGGAAAAATCTTTCATAGAATATGCAATTCAAAATTTTGCAGCAGAATTGCTTTAAAAATAAAAAATGGTGTTGATGACATCCTTATGACATTGGGTTACAAAATACAGTTTCCTTCCACAGAAAGTATAAAAAAATTAGAAGATGAAGTTTTTAATAAATTTCAACATAAAGTTCTAGTTTTTCCAAGTACAAATGAATATGATAGCCATAAAATAATTACTAAAATTTGTGATACAATACAATGTCTTAACAGTGGAGAAACTTTAATTTTAATTGGTTATCCATTACTCACTTACCTTAGTGTTGGACTTCTTTATATTTTAAGCTGTACATTTAGTGTACTGAAAGTAACAGCTAGTAACGATTTAGGCTTAAAAATTACTTTAGAAAATTATAACTCCAATCTCAAAGCGTTAGAATTCTTACATGAAATTAAAGCTGCTTCTGTCAACATTGAAAAACAAGGAAAAGCTGTTCTGGAGATAATCCCGGTATCAGTTTTATATGAAGGTAAAAAAATACTTCATTATTGTATTCCAATTACACAATTGTATAATATTTCAATATTACACATTATGTTTTTTTAGGATTTAATTTATGTTATTCAGCAGAAGAATTTAATTGTTGGGTTATAAAAACATATATTGACTATGTATTATATAAGGTGAAAGACAATACTATTGATGGGAAAAGTAATACATAAAATATATGCTCTGTAAAAAGCCAAAGTTGTATTACTTTTGGTATAATAAACACTAACTACATGTTTGTAAATGGTGTATAATTTTCTTATGTGATTATGAAGTAATGTTTGTTACAATCAGTATGACTTTACATAATAATATTTAATACTGGTAATTATTAGACATGCATATTATCTTTTACATATGTAGTATCTTTTTTGTAAAAGAAATTTGTAGTATAAAATTAAGTAACACGGTAGTATATTCTAAGTAGTTTAGAAGCAATAATCCTTGGCTGTCTTCTTTTCAAAATATTATATAGTTTCGTAATATTTAAAAAAATAGTTTTAATATATAATGCATTTTATTTTAATTTAGTACAATTATCAAAATGAATAAGAAATTTGGTACAATTTGCAACTATATTCGTTTATTTTCAACCGAACCTATTGTACCGAAAGTATGTATTGTTGGTGCAGGACCAGCAGGATTTTATGCTGCGCAACAGTTACTAAAGGCAAGCACAGTATATTTTATTATAAAGTTATAGCATAATAAGAACAATTCTATTTAGACTTCTAGTGATGTTAAAGTGGATGTATTGGAAAAATTACCTGTACCATTTGGCTTAGTTCGGTTTGGTGTAGCTCCAGACCATCCAGAAGTGAAAAATGTTATTCATACTTTTGAGAAAACTGCGTCTAACCCGCGTTTCCAATTTATAGGAAATGTTAACGTAGGGAAAGATGTTACACTAAAGGAATTGCAAGAAATGTATCACGCTGTATTACTGGTATAGTTATTACATATTTGTTGTTATTAAGTAATCCATCATAAACAACATTAACAATATTTTTCTAATATTTCAGACGTTTGGTGCTGAAGCAGATAGAGCACTTGGTATACCCGGAGAAAATTTAAATAATATAATATCGGGGCGACGTTTTGTTGGTTGGTATAATGGAATACCAGCAGATAGTAATTTAGATATAAATTTAGACATAGAAGAAGCTATTATATTAGGGCAAGGTAATGTTGCCATAGATATTGCAAGAATTTTGTTATCCCCGATAGATAAATTAAAGGTACATTTTAAGTTACCTATAAAGCATGATTTACAACATAATTTTATAATTCATCTTTAATCATATTATTTTAGCATACTGATATAACATCATTTGCATTAGAAAAATTGTCACAAAGTAAAATCCGTAAAGTGTCTCTGGTAGGCAGAAGAGGACCACTACAAGCAGCTTTTACAATTGCTGAACTCCGTGAAATGTTGAAGTTAGAAGGCTGTCATACTTATTGGCGCAAAGATGATTTCTCAGGTGTAAAAGAAGTAGTTAGTAGTTTAGCAAGACCGCGAAAAAGACTGACTGAACTAATGCTAAAACATGTTGAAGAAGTACCTTTAGAACCAAGAAATTCAAAAGAATTTCATCCAATATTTTTGAGAAGTCCCACAGAATTTTTAGGTTCTAATAGCGTAAATAGTATTAAATTTGCAATAACTAAACTGGAAGGAGACGATATACCGAAACAAGTTGCGGTACCTACTGGGTCATTTGAAGAGATGCCATGTAACCTCGCATTTCGTAGTATTGGATATAAATCTGTTCAGATAGACAAATTAATACCATTTGATGACAAAGCTGGTCGTGTGAAAAACATAGAAGGTAAAGTTCAGGATAAACTTTATGCTGCAGGTTGGGCTGCAACAGGTCCTGTTGGAGTTATATTATCAACAATGACAAATGCACTTCAAATTGGTGCTTTAATAAGTAAAGAATTATCAATTGTAGAAAACAAATCAGGTTCTGAAGGTTTATTTGAAATTCTTAAATATAAAAATGTACCTGTGGTATCATACAATGGCTGGAAAAAAATTGATAAAGCAGAATGTGAAAGGGGAAAATTATTAGGAAAACCAAGAGAAAAGATAGTTAATATTAATGAAATGTTAGAAATTGCTTCAAATTAATGAAAGTATTTTTTAAATATATAGACTGTTTATATTTATATTTGGGGCTATGTAATAATATCCATTTATATATACATGTTAATTTTTATAAATAAATTTTATAATTATACCATCCTATAGTTTCCTCATTTATGTTTTCCTTGATTATACATTATCAAGTACTAAAAGATTATCATTATCAACTACTAAAAGATTAAAATATAACATTTATAAAAAGTAATGCATGTTATACAAATTTTAAACTTTGTATTTCGATAATTCACATTATATTAATGTGGTTCTGCAGTAGTGTTGGGTATGTGCGCGCGCGTGATATAATGATGCTGACAGGCTACACTATCTCCATTTCAACACGTTTCACCTTCTACAATAACCTTAAAGACAAAGTTTATTCTCGTGAAATGTATAAAAAAATAATATCGTACTTGTATATTTATAAACTGTATTACATTAATATAATATGGAAATAAAAGTTGTGGTAATTATGTACGAAAATGAACGATGTATATAAACACATAAACCTTAAACACATTTGTAAACATAAAAATTTTAAGCTTGATATAAAATTCAATATCAAATTATATTGCACTTGATTATAACTTAATCACGGTGATTCGAAATTATTAAAAATTATAAAATGAATGTACGAGAACCAAAGAAAAAACGGCGTGTCAAACTGAAAGAACAACCGCCTTTTCCAATTATAATAGGTAATAAAGATGCATGGACAACTTATACTGCTCAGCTTACAGAATTAGGATCATGTATAATCGACCCTAATGAAATTGTCGCAATACATTCCATGGTAATTATTCTTTATAATAACATGTAAAAATTAAAATTTATAATAATAATTCCTTTCTGATTAAATTTGAATGATAACTGTTTTTATTTATGCTACACAACATATACTTTTAGTTGTACTTTATGTGATTTGTAATTTGCTCAGGGTTTCTTTGGTAAAGGTTCACTGTCTCGTGGTTTTCCTTCATTTGGAAAACCAAGGTATGGAGCACCTCCTGTTGTAAGAAATAGACAATGGGTTCGGAGGGAAGAATGGTTAAAACAATTTAATGAATTAAGTATGGTACCTAACAATAGTAAACAGACAAACTTAGAAGAATATGAATTTATTCATTTGGAAAATGAGGATAAACACAATGATAAATCTTTAAATATTTCAAGAAAAGAAAATACACCAGATATAATTGAATTAGATACAAATGATTCTCCTGAAAAAAATGAAGAAACTAGTAAAGAAATTGATAAAAAGGCAGAAACAAGTCATACAGAGCTTGATTCCGTAAAAGATGATTCATTGAATATTATAAGTGAAAATATAACTGAAGAATGTATTGATAACAATGATGAATGCATAGAAGATGAAGGGAAAGAAGGACCTTTTTGTTTTGAAGATTTTAATTTTAAAAAGGATGATATGTATTTTATTAATGATGATGTAAACATTCAAAATGAACTACTTGTTCTCCCAGATAGTGATTCAGAGACAGAAAATTATTTAAAAGAAATAGAACCTAAGATTAAACAAGAAAGTTTTCCAGTGCAAGAAACTTTGCATCTCACATTTGAAGAAACGTTTTTTCTCTTGTATGGCTTAGGCTGTTTAAATTTAATAGACTTTGATGGTAATTTATTAGATGTTGATAGTGCTTGGCATTTTTTTTGTAAAGCAGACAAAAATTTTGTGCCAAAATATGTTGTATATCATTATTTTCGAAGTAAAGGGTGGGTAGTGAAACCAGGACTCAAATATGGTGGAGACTTTTGTTAGTATTATATTCTTTTTGTGATCATTTTCATTTAGTGATGCCACTATAAATAGCTTTTAACATTCCAGTGTTGTATAAACAAGGACCACCATTTTACCATGCATCCTACATTGTGTTAGTGGATGTTATAGATGGTGATACATTACTTAGAAATGAAAATAAGATTATGCATAAATTAACGTGGAGTAATCTATTAGGATTAGAAAGATTATCAGAGACTGCTGCCAAGGTAATTTATACAAGTAATTTAGCATTAACTGAATTATGTATATTTAAAAAAATTTAATTTTGTTGTACATTATAAATTTAGGAAATACTATTTGCACAAGTTTTATGGCCATCTTCAGCTATAGAAACATCTAACTCATTTAATGTGGATATATTGTCAGAATTTTCTGTAAGAGAAGTACTATGGAGGAGATTGAATCCCAAACATAATAGAGATGCAGAAGAAGAAGATGATGATTCATATTAATTTTGTGCTAAGTAATTTATTACATTTACAAATAAGTATCTGTACATTAATAAATATTACATTTTTATATTATCATATTCTTTATTATTTTATTTTATCCAAAGTTATCATTTTTTATTAAAGAAAATCTGGTACTACAAATATGCATATTTACATTTTTGCATTTAATAAATGCACAATTTACCTTTAACTTATGATGTTGATACAGCTCTTGTTCTTTTTGATTTTACCGGTATACCAGTTCTTCTATATTCACTTCTTTCTTGTAGATATTCTTGCGTACACTCTTCTTTAAATGCTGGATCATTAAACCATGTTTCTAAACATGATTTTAATGCAGTATTTACATCTCTGCATTTGAATACCATTAAAAAACTAGAATTTTTACAACAGGTATTAAACTCTGTAAATTAAATGACAAGTGTATTTTATATTGAAAGTACCATCATACTAGCATGTAAATAAATATTACTGAATCTACCTTGAACTTCTTTCACACATTTTTCTTCTCTTGCTTTATCTCTCATTTTTTGTGGTATAAGAACATCTTTTTCAACTTTTCTTAAAAAAGTGTCATTAGGGTCACCTATAAAACCAAATCATATCAAATTACTGATATCATCACATTATTTGATATAATAACAATGATATTTTAAAATGTTAAATACTGTAATTTATAAACAAAAACGTTACTTTATCAACAACATATCAGTTTTAGTATAGTTTACTCTGAAAAGTATACCATAGAAAAATACGAACATAACTCGAATTTACCAAAAACTGATTAAAAGTATCTGTATTACTGCATGATTAACTGTATGTTTTAAATAAGTTGCTGATTACAGCAAATTGAAGCTTACCTACGCCGTGTGGCCCGGCTCTTGAATTTCGTAGAACTGATCGTTTTACTTCAGTCATTTTCACTATACTGTGAAATTCATCGTTCAAAATATTATAAATGCTTACAGAAAATACCAAGCGGTGGGAAACTTACTGAAGTTAGCCACGTTGCGCGAATAAATGATCAGAGAGCGAATGATAATCGCTCCAATAGGCCGCGCTCGTGAGTGTGCACATTTGATAGTTGTCAGTGTATGTATTCCCGTACAAAAAAGTATTTACTTTGTACAACGAATGACTGATAAATTATAGTATATCTTATTAGTAGTTCAGTTTAATAAGTAAGTAAATAAATAAATAAGCCTTGTATGAATTGTAATAACACTACACTTTCCTATGTGTTTTGCATGAAATTAACCTAATCAGAAATTGTCACTTGTGATTAAATTATGAGAGTCAATAATTAGAATGTCTTATATTTCGAAATCATAATTATTTTCATGATTGTGAAGAGAGAAGAAATAAGCAAATATGGACCGATTATTGAGATTAGGAGGTACTATGCCAGGCCTCAGTCAAGGACCTCCTCCCTCGGATGCTCCAGTTGTTGATACTGCAGAACAGGTATAATTTATTATATGTGATGTGTGAATGTGTTTATTATATATTTGCCTTATGTTCATTAATAAATTTCTTGCTGTTATTAGGTATACATATCATCACTAGCACTTTTGAAAATGCTTAAACATGGACGTGCTGGTGTACCTATGGAAGTGATGGGTCTGATGCTTGGAGAATTTGTTGATGATTACACTGTTCGTGTTATTGATGTGTTTGCTATGCCTCAAACTGGAACAGTAAGCATGAAAATTTTTCATTGCATCATCTTTGTTTTATTTGACTTCATTAATTATTGCCGTTGTACTGTCTTAATATTGATTTGCTACTGTTATTCATATTTTCTTAGGGAGTTAGCGTAGAAGCAGTTGATCCAGTATTTCAAGCAAAAATGTTAGATATGCTTAAACAAACTGGTCGGCCAGAAATGGTAGTAGGATGGTATCACTCTCATCCAGGTTTTGGTTGTTGGCTTTCTGGTGTAGATATTAATACACAACAGTCATTTGAAGCTCTTAGTGAAAGGGCAGTGGCTGTTGTAATTGATCCTATACAATCAGTAAAAGGAAAAGTTGTTATTGATGCATTTAGATTAATTAATCCAAACATGATGGTAAAGAAATAATTTCTTAAATAAACTTAAGAAGTTATTAAGAAATAAGATAAGATAAATATATATAAATTACAGGTTCTAGGACAAGAACCACGTCAGACTACATCCAATTTAGGTCATCTACAAAAGCCATCTGTTCAAGCATTAATTCATGGTTTAAATCGTCATTATTATAGCATTAGTATTAACTACCGTAAAAATGAATTAGAGCAAAAAATGCTATTAAATTTACACAAAAAGACATGGATGGACGGTCTCACACTTGCAGAATACTCTGAACACAGTAGACTCAATGAAAATATTGTATCTGAAATGCTTGAGCTTGCCAAGAATTATAACAAGGTATAGTATTGAATGTTAACTATTTTTTCAAGTTAGGATTATAAATCAGATATACCTAATCTCGGAATTTGCACTTTTAGGCATTGGAAGACGAGGAAAAAATGACGCCCCAACAATTAGCCATAAAAAATGTGGGCAAACAAGATCCAAAACGGCATTTAGAGGAAAAAGTGGACACGCTTATGGCCACAAACATTGTTCAGTGTCTGGGAGCAATGCTCGATACAGTTGTATTCAAATAACTATTTCTTAAAACGTCATTTGCAATATATTATTGGAAGAAATATACTACATCTTTTTAAAATACGTGCGTCTGTAATCTGTACCCAAGAAAGTACATATAATACACAATTTTTTTACTGACACATTTGTATTATTCAAATGAAGAGTCAAAACATTTTGAAGTTACATTTTGATATAATTTAATGTTTATTACAGTAAATTAAGCTAATAAAATCAATATTAATTGTTTACAAAAAATGGAATATGTGGCGCCATCTCTTCAACAAACAGGGTGAACTACACGTATTTGAAACTCAAGGTTCATTAGTTCTTATTTTCTACCGCTAGATGTCTAAGTATTCAACTTTAGAGCGAGAATCTTAAACTTATGCGACACCTAGCGGTGAAAGGTAGGAACTAATGAAATACGTGTTTCAAATACGCGTAGTTCACCCTGTTCGCCGGAGAGATGGCGCCACTTGTTCAATTTTTAAAAACCCAATAAAAATATATTTAATTGATTAATATGCTATATATTTATTGTATATTGACTTTATTCTGTTTGTAATATATCAAAAATTTGCTTATTTCGATAAAAATATTTTCATTTCGGTAATTTTGTCGCTCGAACAAAGTGCAAGATGGCGTTAAGTGTATTCTCCTCGAAGCGCGTAGTTGCACAAAAATAAAAAATAATACAACAGCAGCATTTCTATTCTTAAAGGTTTCTATTTATACCAAAATTAGTTCTTTAGTTAATGCATCGATGGAGGTCAAATTTTTTCGTTCAAACTCCTTTTTCATGAAAAACAAAACGATCGAACATCGTTATTGTGTCGCGAACAATCGTGTTTCATGTATACGAAGCGTCATTGTCAAGCATAAAGAAAACTGGAACACGTTTATAAAGGGTTCGAAGTCGAGTAACCTGGTTTTATGTTAGCACTAGCAGCTAGCGAAACGTTTTCAATTTCAGAGCGATATTTCTTATTATTATAGAGCGCGTGCAGGAAATAGGTAGACAATCGGTCATTAAGAGCGTAATCGTTGCCTTTGCAATCCACTTTCGAATTGAATCGTACGGTTCAATTATTAATTTCGTTTCTGTATTCAAATGTCAAGGTGAAAGTAATGCGCTTTGTCAACTGTACAATTCTAGATTAACTCGACGTCTTCAAATTTTATCGAATCTTTAATTAACATTTATACAAGGATTATTTACATGTATTTTGAAATATGTAGTATTTTAAGATTCTTAAATTGTAATAGGGCTATTGAAGCAATAAATCTCTAAATTTTCAAGCTTCCAAATTTTCAAATTCACAAATGCACAATTTTCTGAACGTCCAAATTCTCAAATTCACAAATTTCCCAGACTTCAACCCCTACATAGTCAAATCTCTAAATCACCAAATTTCTAAACATTCAAAATGCTGCATCAAAAATTTCTAAACATTAAAATTCCTAGACTGATTTGCCTAACCAGAGTTATACACTATCAACTTCTACACCTAACCGTAAAAGAAGGAGATAGTAGACCTTCATTTCCTGAGCGCTCAGTTATGGCAAACCCTCTCTCAGTCCAAATCAACGGAGCTTCACGAACATCAACTATTACACAAACGATTGAACCGTAATAGAAGCAGAAGTTACTGGAATTCTATTATTTGAACATCCAATTATGGCGAACCTGTGGTTACTGTAATAAAAATAATCGAACCATGATAAAAGTTAGCTATGTAGTTAGCAGTAAACTATGATGGAGTTGTATTATCTGAACATCCAGTTATGACAAACTGTGTTATCTCTCAATCGGTTCAAATAGACGGAGCTTTATGAATATTTGTAATGAGAATAATCGAACCAAGATAGAAGTTAGCTATGTCTTTAGCAGTGAACTATGATGGAGTTATATTATTCAAGTACTCAGTTATGACGAACTATGTCATTTTTCGATCGGTTTACCTAAATGGAGCTTTACGAAAATCTGTAATGAAAATGATCAAACCACGACAGAAGTTAGCTATGTATTTAGTAGTGAACTATGATGAAGTTATATTATTCAAGCACTCAGTTATGACGAACTGTGTCATCTTTCAATTGGTTTACCTAGACGGAGCTTTACGAATATCTGTAATGAAAATGATCAAACCACGACAGAAGTTAGCTATGTATTTAGTAGTGAACTATGATGTAGTTATATTATCCGCACACTCAGTTATGACAAACTGTGTCATCTTTCAATCGGTTCAAATAGACGGAGCTTTACGAACATCTGTAATGAAAATGATCAAACCACGACAAAAGTTAGCTATGTATTTAGTAGTGAACTATGATGAAGTTATATTATCCAAACATTCAGTTATGACGAACTATGTCATGTTTCAATCGGTTCACCTAAACGAAACTTGACGAATATCTGTAACGAAAGTGATCAACCATAATAGAAGTTAGTAGTGATCTCTGAATGATTCTATTAAATGAGCACCCATAATAGTAACAAATCAATATAAACGTACTTTTGGTCCAGAAAGAGGCTGTATATCCGTGTCCATGCAAGATCGCAGGAAGTCACGCATATCAAAGCAGCTATCAGTCAGTAAGAGGAACGAGGAACGAGGCGACGTGTCTAAGGAGGGGGAGGCTTTCGAGTAAGCAGCGCGAGGGTAGGGGCTAGGCGTATAGCAAACGGCGTCGGTGGTGGTGGCTGTCGAGAGCCGGGCGAAAGGGAAAATGGTCGGGCGAACACTTTTTTTCTCCCCCATTTAGAGCCAGGTTTTTTGACACGGCGGTCGTTCGATCGACTTGCATTTGTCTCCGAGCATTCCGTCGACAAAGGTACACGCGAACACGCGCTTTGCCACACCGGTCGAGCCATACACCTCGCGATGATGCATCACGTTCGTTTGCATCTCACCTAACTCACCTCGTGCACTTCAGTGACTCTTTTCCGAGAACTCTTCAAACCGATTGTATCCGCTTCACGTTGTGATTATCGACGACCAGTGCACGCGACAAGAAGGAAGAAGCCGCGTGGCCCCAGGTGTTTTGAAATGAAACATTGGATCGGACTCTAAGAAGCTGCAAGGTGAGCGTGATTCAAGTGCGATCGAAAGGAGGTCCCGACATGGGAAAACCGTGAGTCTATGGGAACGAATCAAGGATTTTTTGAGGGACGATGCACCTTCGTAGATAACGTTCCACTTTACGTACTTTGTTACGCTACCCAACGCCTACGCCGTCCTTAACACCTTTGCCACCTGCGACTTTCCATGGGCCACTGCAGTCACACGCGACCCCCTCACTACTCCAAACATACACGTACTCCAAAATTTATACTATGCTCATTCTATCATTCTATTATTCTATCTTCTGACATTTTCTGCAAATCTTCTGATCAATCATTTTTACCAGCTCCGTCACTGAAAGCTTTGTTTCATAGAATAAATCTACTCTCATTTGTCTAAGTTCGTTTGTACAAATCTATTCAAAGGTTAGCAAGGTTCTCAATCGGTCCTTCGGTGACGAAACGAGCGTGTTTTCCTGGGAATGAAAACTCGGCGGGAAAACTCGTTTCCTCTGAAAAAAAAAGCATCTGGAATCGGCGGTGGTCGGTTCCGTGATCGGTAGAACCGGCTGTAGTTGCAGAATATTAGCCGACCGACCGCGGAATTAACTGACCGTTGCCTGTATAACTCCGGTAGTCGACTTTCTCGCGTGCAAACTTCTAGATGTTCCCCCGCGCTTTCTTACGTAAAAACCCGCCGCTTGCCAGAGCGGACCGTGCCGAAATGATCGTGGCCCGGCTAGCCCGCAGCACCGTGCAGCTCGTCACGGACCCTTAAATCGAACAACAACGCTGAAAATTGCCGGCGAGATCAGCGTACCGTTCAGCTACGTGCTTTTCTTAAATTATTCTTTCTGGAGGCTTGTACGGTTCACTTTTCTTGCGATCGTTTTCTTTCTTGTACATTGGAAAGCGAATGGGGAGTTTGGTTGTTAGATTACAATATGGTTTGTATTTTTGGGGAGGATGAGAATGAGAGAATTTGGGTAGAGATGAGGATAGTGGAGAAGATGAGAAGGGGTGGGAGAATGGTTAGGTTAGTGGTGGAGGTCTTGTGTAAATTGGAGATGTTAGGGTAGTGGAGGTAGTTGGATTATCAAGGTCTTCTTGTTTAGAAATTAGGGATAGGATAATTGTGATTGTTAGGTGATCAAGGTCTTCTTGTCCAGAAACTGGGGATGTGAGGATAGGTACGTGGGAAGGTAGAAATATAGGAATCTAGACATGTGGCTAGCTAGGGTTCTGGATGGAGGGCTATGGATCAAACGATGTGGAGGTAGAGGGATGTAGGTGTTTAGGGACTTAAGGATCCAAAGATAGAAAGATAGAAGTCAAGGAAGATGTAAAGACGTAGAGTACTAATGATATAGAAATCTAGAGTGATAGAGATCTAGGACCATAGAAGTCAATATAAGAGTGTAGGAATTTTGAGATATAGGAAGATAGCAATCTTGAGATACAATCTCAATGAGATGTGTATCGAGATATAGAAATATAAGGGTTGAAAGCTATGAGGTTATAGCAATTTATAGACGTAGAAGACTAGAGATAGCAAAATTCAAAAATAGGAGACCAGAGCTATATAAAAATATAGAAATTCAACAATTTAGCAATATATATTTCCTAATACAGTACAATGAGCGTAACAATGAGCTAGAAGTAGAATAGTGAAGTATTTAAACAACGAACCAATAACATACCACACCACTCCAACACTAGAAACATCAAAGTGTCAAAACAGTAAAGCATCTATTAAAATAAACGCCCAGTAAAATAATATTGCATTCCTTAAAAATTGCATTACCCAAATATATGTAGCAATTATACCACCTAACATCGATACCATCTTCGCCAACATATTTACATTCCCCTTACGAAAGAAGTATTTCATTTTACAATTGAAGTTTCGTGCTCTAAAAATGAATTATTTTATTAGTTTTCTATTATTAGATGGAATGATACTTTCAACATTTTCAACGATACGGAATATGCTTCACGATCGCGGCCTCAAACCGATGCAGTTAGCGCAGTTCTAGTGCAGTTGCATATAGCGCCTAGGAGAATTTACTTTCGATCGCTCGCGTGCACGATCGTGGAAAGGAATCGGCTCGGAAACTGTTCTCTCGTGAACGTTTTTAGTTGGCGAACGTAATAGGTTACGAACGAATTAATGGCTCTCCTTTTTCTACGGCTCTCCTACAATCGCCTTCATTTATATTACATTCTAAGCATTTAATACTCCTACTGATACTGATGCATGTTCTGTTAATTTCATAAAGGTAATTATCAAAAAATTAACGAGTGAGGTTCTTTGTAAAGAATAGGATATGGTAGCAATGAATGTACGAGCAGAAAATTGCAGGAGTAGCGTGAAACGAGGGGACGCAACGTGTGCGTCAGTAGGAGTGAAAGTGAGGTTAACTTCATGGAGATTATTACCGTTCTTTATCTTTCACTCGATCGAATATAAAATCATAGTAATTATGGCTGCTATAGACACCTTATTAGGAGGAAATTGTAAAACTGTTTATCTAATGTTAACTGTTTAGACGTTTACATTCTTATTTAGCTTCTTATTTTTTAGTCTGAAAAAATTCTTCATAATTCTTCTAAAAACATAAAAATGTATGAATCTGTATAGAAACAAAATAAAATAGTGTAACTATAAAAAGAGTATATTATAAGAATATATAAAGCAAATATAAAATACCACATAGTAGTAAAAGAAAATATCTTTCAACTTTTAGAAAATCATTTCAATAAATTTCTCTTAAAAATTAATTTACTTCAACGATAAGTAAATGCTTGTTGTACTTCCAATTTAATAAAAGAAGAACTGTATAATACAGCGAAATTGTAACATTACAAAAATGAAAAGAATTGTTAGCACAAAAAATAATTTCTTATTATTTTTGAATAATTTTTAATTATTTCTTGTGTTAAAAAAATACATAGTGCATAGCATTGTTTTAGAAGAGGGTAGATGCGAGGTCGAGAAACGGGTTTGGGCGAAGAAAATGGGCGCGGAAAAGTTGAATGGATGATGCAAAAGTTGAATGAATCGTAATGCAACGCGAACGAGTCTAACGGTATTTCGAGTACGGTCGTCGATCCATGGCTGATCTTGATCTTCCTCCTCTCCTTCTTGATCTTCGCGTTGAAGAGGAAGGAGGATCGAAAGAGCTCACGATCATCACGACTCACCGTGTACTTGAGACGACCTCGTTAGATCACCGTTTGTCAAATCCTGATCATCTGGGAACCGGTTTCACCTTTGTTGTCGATTTTCGTGATGACACCGTCTCTTTAAAATATGGTACACAATGTCTCTGTAACATAAGATTATATTTTCCTAACAAAATATATATCTACTTAAAATAATGTATGTCTCTTTATGAAAAGAATCATATCTCTTTATGAAATTCTTCTTTTAAATACACTATGTCTCTTTATAATAAGACACACCATGTCTGTGTAACATAAGATTATGTTTTCTTAAAATAAAATACGTCATATCTTTTTAAAATAATGTATAATGTCTCTTAATAAAAAGATACAATTTTGCTTTCAAATATACTTCATTTATAATAAAATACACAATGTTTCATCGAGGACCTAGAAATATAAGAACAATGGTGAGAAAACGTGTGGCGGCCATATTTGTTGGGACGTAGATTATTATATTTGTCAGGATAAATTTTAGTATAGTTTGACGGAGTTAATTCTCCAATTTTCAAACCTTACTCAAGCTTGAACATTTTCAAATTTAAAATAAAAAAATTTGCAAACTTACAAACATGAAAATTTGAAAGATTACATAAATGCAAGAACGTAATTTTCCCCAAAAAAGTAGATCGTGATGTAAAACCAGCCACGATAAACGTGTACCAAAAAAATGAGATTGGAACATCGTTTTTGCACAGTCGCGTTATCCAGTTGCAATTATTTTTAGCGACATTTTCGCAAACCGGTATCGAGCAGAAATTTAAGATATATCTTGACAGATTCAGGTTTCGGAGGGTGGGGTATGGGGATTTTGAATCCTCTCGAAGCACCATGAAACGAACCTTGGCCTCCTTTCGAACCCGTTGCTTCTGAAGACGGTGCCAATTAAAGAGCATAAAACAAACAACGATATATACTTATCTTGTATTACGAAATCGATGCTCAAAGGATGAAATTCTATTTTCTATGCGACACCGTCAGTTCCTGTTATTTTTAATGGAACAAATACGTGGCGGTTCTGCCGCAACAACGGGAGATAAAAATAAGGTTCGATCGATCTTTTTGATGTAGGAACAAAGAGGGTAATCGCGTATTCATCCTTGATGGCGTAAAAATAACCCTCGAGCAAGACAGAACGATGCGGTGTAACTTAATAATATCGAGGGCAATTTATAACCGGCGTATTATGGGAGAAATGATATGGAAGGGACAACGAAAGGGTCAAATATTTCGATGATTAAATGTCCTAGTTTGATCGCCATTTTATTTTCTGACGCTACTGTTATTACTGCATTCTTGTGTAATGTTGGAGGAATAAAGGTTAAGGGTTTTAACCTTTTAGTTTCTATAAAAACATCGATGTTCTGTTTACTGTTTTACTATTGTAGCAATTAACCGGAGTTATTGAAATGTGAAAAGGTATTGCAAAATGGAGGTTAGGTTTACAAGCTACGCAAGAAACAGAGATTCCTGTATCTTCTAATATTAATTAAATGCGAATCAGTATATTTGTTGGTACTAAATTTTCTTTAATTTTAACAGTTGAATAAATTTAAATTTTTGAGGACCTGCTTTATTGTTCTGTTACTAAAATTTATTGCTTTGTTTCTTATTTTTTAACCAAGAACTTCTTCAAGGTTTGGTACGTTGTACAACTATGAAATTTAATTAAAAATTGTTATATTCAATTGAAAATATTGAAAGAAGCTGTTAGAACCCATTACTTACCTTTTATAATAGCATTTTTTTTGTGCACCCTCAACCTAAGATTTTGCAATATTTTCTTTTAAACAGAAAATTCTTATTCTCCTATTATAATGTATTACTAAGTTCATTATGATGAGTTCTCATAAATTATGAATATTTATTATCATTATTATGTTTCTCTAAAATTAAGTAACTCATGCTTAATCCAAAGTCGAGTTCCTGGTTTCAAAACCAGTTCCAAATAAAAATCCCCTTTCAGGCCACCTTGCCTTACATTTGTTCTCTTCATTGTTCGTTAACATATTCATGGGTTTCTTTCGCAGAATGGCGCGGAGATTTTCGTGGTGCACGGCGGTGGCATTGGTGGTGCTGCTTTTCGTCACGACCGAAGGTCTTCGTGAACGTGGCACTCAGGTAAGTAAAAAACTTGCGAAACAGATAACTGTATATAAACCGTGCGAATAAAAAATCAATTACTTCTTAATTAAACTCGAACTACGACCAACTTTTTGTCATCTACTTATTTCGTAAACTCGAGTTATTAACATAAATGTTCTCGGTTGAGGGACAACTACTTAATTGGTCAATTTTTTATATTTACTTTTAATTAAATGCATTCATAAAGACCATTACTCGAGATGAAGCATTAAAATTCATTTTTTATCTTGAGAAATTTGTATTCCTACACACGTTCTGCAAAATTGAAGATTTTTATTTAGACTGAACAGATGAAGTTATTAAAATTCAAACATATATTCTAGTCATCAACTTTTAATTTAATTTTATATGAATTTAAAATTATTCTGATTATGAGTAACATTCATGAATTTCAGAAATTATTTACTGATAGAAATTATTTTTATTATCTATTTGTTACCTATATATTATTTGTAACAATTTGTTTGTCTAGAATATTATTTGTAACAGTATAGAAATTATTTTTATATGAAAAGTATTTAAATTGTGCTATTATGATCATTTATTTATAATGATTATTTATTACAAAAAATATTTAAAAGATACAATTATAATTATATACAATAAGAATGATATAATTAACTTTCCATAACCTGAAAATTGCAAGAACCCAAATTGACGTGTCACCGAGTCATCAATCAGCGATTTTGAGGGTTGAAAAAAAATGCAATGAAGTCGAGGTGATTGACACGATAAACCACAGTCCGTTTCGCAGTTTTCCAACGACACGATCGTTTTTTTTCCCCCATTGCAAATGTGATTCAAGAGTGCATCGATTCCGTGTCAAGGATATTGCGTTGCATTTAATGTGGTGGCGGCGTTAATTTTTTTCCTCTTTCCTTTTCACGAAGGCTACCGAGCCACTGGAACGGATTAATCTTTATAATTCGACCAAGTCTCGTGATCGAATGTGCAGGCTAGATAATTAACGTCGTAGAAAGGAAGTTATTTGCGAAGATGGTCCACGACAATGGGACCTTGCCTCGAAAAGGAAATCCTCACGTGTTTTCTGTGCGTTTCTTCGTTTCCTGTCGTTAAGTCGCATCTTCAATTTGTTCGTTCCACTGTTTTACTTGGTCTCTTTATCTGTGACGGTGGGCAGCTGCCCCAAGGGCAATGCGCATGTGATCTGCACTTGTGGACATTCACTTTTTTAATTTTTATATTTATAGAATTTTAATATTCTAAATTTTGGTCTTTTGGAATTATTAAATTTTTAAGTTTGATGTTATAAATTTCTAGGTCTGAAAATTTCTTAATTTTCTTTATTTTTCGAGTGGTAATATATCAGATTTGTTTTTCTAACGGGTCTGCTTTTCTTTGCTGTTAAGTTTGTTTCTAAGTCTGTTTTTAAAGCGTCAAATTTTTATTTTATTAGATCTTTAAATTATCAACTTCCTAAATTCTGCTACAGATTCAAGTTATAAATTTCTTAAATTATTTCATCACACACTTCAATTGTCAGCTTCTTACATCTTTATTTTTCTGTATCTTCAATTTTCCAATTTTGAAAATAATAAAATTTCTAGACTTCCAACTTTGAAATCTTGATTTTCGGAGTCTCAAATTTCTCACAACTCATCACTGCACCCAATTACCCATAAATCCCCGTGAGCTATTCTCGGAGCACTGATTGATCTACCGAATCACTTATGTCTACAAAGTTAATCAACTCGCGTCACGTAACGCCGCAAAAAACCTGCCTGCATCGTTTCGACTTCTGTATTATTTCGAAAAATAGTCGCAAAACGAGGAACTCGTGATAGGAGAAGGAATTAATTACGTTACCCGAGAAATAGAAACGTGACGTTCGTTTCTCGATAGAAAGTGACTGAAATCGTTAACTTCGCTTTCCATAAAATTAGCGTTAATGACGCCGCGGTTTTTTCTCATCTTTTCAATTCCTCCGGAATACTTATGACCTGGTTGCATCTTATACAATTTTTATCTCGTTACGATTTCCTAATTGTATTCGATTAACGAGTTAATTATCGATTTCTCAATCGTTTTATCCGTGTTGCGATCTCGATGAAGATGTCCGTTCCGATTTATTCAAAGGTTATCGGTTGCCGTCGTTAAAAATGACGTCTCGAATGCTTTCATGCGAGTCATAATCCTGTACTTTAGACACCACGTGTCGATCATTCGAAAGTTTTCATGGTAAATAGAAGTAACAGGATCCAAACGTTACGCTGGATGCATTTCTATCGCGAGTTTCGAGCGTTCCACTCGAAAGGGAAAGGTTATTATACGAGATTATTAAACGTGCTATGCGTTAAATTCGATTATCTTGAATTATTCTTTCTTGTAAGTTATTATTATCTCATCTTGGTTGGTAATAGTCAAGCATTCTGTTAAATTACGCTTTTTTATTGAGGGAAGTGGCGTCGATTTTGATCGGCCGCCATTTTGGTTGCGCAAGTACCGTGGCGCGAAATTCAATTTATAAAGAACGTTTCTTCAATGAAAAGTTACGTAGGTAATTTTACAATGATTCTGTAAATGAAGTAATATTTGATATATTCAATATACATGTATGTATATAATTATACATAAAAAATAAATATGAATGCATATAATTACACATAAAAAATATAAATGAATGAATAAATAAATAAATGAAATGCATGCACAGAATAAAATATGAATATTACCCACGTATGTACATACATGAAAATATTAACATGCAATTATTAAGAAACCTGCTTCTTACAATAATTTGTAACAAAGTAATTTTATAAATTAATTTGCAACAAATTATTCTCTATAATTTGAGAATGTGAAGACTCGAAAATGTGGAGACTTGAGAACATGTGGAAGGCATGAAATATAAACCGATGTTCCATAATACCTGTTCCTAACAATATAACTTTCTATGTAAATTTCCTCGTAAATAACAAAGGAGAACAAAGAACGTATTCGATAACGGTGTCAACGACGCTATAGAACGCAAATCGTTCGGAAGATGGAGTTTGCTCTAAAAATGGCGGGAACCTGCGATCGCGTTATGAGCTCGCAAGTGTACCGTATTTTCAAGTGCTTCGAGATAGTAGATAGGCGATATAGAGAGAGACTGAAATGGACACTGTGGTGAAGAAAGGAAGAAAATAGAGCTGCAGGTTCGCGTGGGCCACGCCTAGTCGTGCGCCGGTCTCTCCTGGCAAATAATGCAACGGGTGCTCGTAAATTTTCGGCTTCTCAATCGATCTAGATAATATTTATTATCGAACAATGACGACTGAGATTGGCTGGGTGTGGGACAGGACATGAATCGGGTCATCGATTCAACCGGATGCGATTATGCGTGTCATTGAACAAATAACGTTACAAATGCGTTCTGACAGATACATATACATAATTGTCTCGCGTGCTGCTTTTCTTGAAAAGAAAATTTTATTAGAGATTAGTTTTACTGTCTTTCCACAGTCTTACTATAGTTTTACTATAGTTTTTACTTACGTTTGCTATACACTTAGTTATATCATTTTAGTAGAACCTTTTTCTCGAGGATGTTGAACAATGTGGACAACACAGGGTGTCGACATAAGCTTTAACAAGATGTCTGAATTAATTTGTATTTCTATCGAAAGTAAAACAGTCAGTTGTCGTCCTATTAGATATTTTAATCCTTAGTAGAGAAAGCTTAGCCGATACGCATCTAACAATTCACTTCTGTTCGCGTTTAATGACCTAATCCTAATAGACGTATCTGGTTCACGTGATTTGCCTGATATCCAGCAATCCCTGGATTCTAAGGTTCAGAGTTAAATATTCGGTTGAAAATGACAATTCAATTGAAACATTATCATGATAGTATTAAATAAAATGACTCAAATGTATTTATTTTTGATTGATGTTCGAATATAAGTTGTTACCTAACCTCATACTTGGTTTTGTTATTGAGACTTGTTCTTTGTTTAAGTTTTAAACTTAATCGAGTCTAAGTTAATACATAACGTTATTGTTTAGACGTATTTATTTTTGTTTAAACTTCAAACTTAACCTTACAAAATCAAGCTTCATATGAATATGTTATACTAATATTCTAGTTTAAACCTCACACTTAACCTAACCAAATGTAACTTCACATGAATACATAACCTTATTCTTCTACTTTAAATCTGAAATCAAACCTAACCTAACTTTGTTCAAGAATAATACAAACCTACATAAATGAATACATAAAATAATGTTAGCTCAAACTGAAAGTTGAAAGAAAAATACGTAAATATTACGAAGGAAAAATGTCGTAAAGTTAAATTTATTTTGGTCCACCCGTTAGAGGGATCGGAGGTATCAAGCGTTTGTTAAAGTTTATACGCGACTGCCAGTGCATTCTGCAGGATTATCCGGTCTATATTTCAATGCAACTTCTCGTGCTCGTTATTTAACGTAGCGCTCGTGAAAACAGGCGACAGGTCGGCTTAAAGTAACACCGTTACTTGCGCGTAATTACCGTAGAAGCGATTAATTAATACGACGCGAAAAAATGCGCGATCGTTCCAGCCAGTTGAGGAGCTATCTTGATAGGGGATTTTCAAAAGCGGAGAAAGAAAAATGCGGTTGCGTTAGCGTACGCTCGCTTGTTATGCCCTTTGTCATTTTTAATTTTACCTTCTCTTTATTACGTTGGTATTTTTTATAAATTAATTGTTGTGTTAATATTTGTGGTTTTAATTGGTGTTACGAAAGGGGAATAAATTTGGGGACTTGGAGATTTAGGGATTTGGGGGTGATGGGGGTTGGATATTTGGGAATTTGGGGATTTAGGGATTTGGAGATCTAGGGATTTGGGGATTTGTGGAATTGGAGATCTGGGAATTTGGGGATTTGTGGAATTGGAGGTCTGGGGATTTGGGGATTTATGGAATTGGAGATCTAGGGATTTAGGGATTTGTGGAATTGGAGATCTAGGGATTTGGGGATTTGTGGAATTG